CGGCTTACCTATCATCGTTCCTACCTACGATATCCGCAGTTCTGATACCGCGTCCCGAAAACTGACCCGACCCGTTCATTCATAGATTCGCCCGTCCGGCCATATAACTATCTCGAAACCGATTCTCTGAGCAGCGGTCAATTAAACGACCGTTCAATTCAAAACGGCCTCGTTAAATTAACGTGGAATATTATCACGAATGAATAATTTTATCGTGAACCTTTGATATATTTATTTGAAAATTTCGTCTTTATATTTACCTTATTTCTTGTTAAATATTTTACTACAGCATTATTCGTAGATTTTAATTAACAACTTATTATATTATATTTATTGTGACAAAAATTTCAAGAAATTTTTTCAGAAAAGATTCCATACAAATTTTCGTATGACGTAAATTTGAACAATTTCACATGAAATATTACGCATATTAGACTCTCTATCTCTTTCATTTAAATAATTAGGGATAATACTTCGATTAAATTTGCAATTTCAGTAAGTTTAATTTACTTTATATAAACATTTTAGATTAATTACAATATTAACAGATAAATGGATTTAATATGTAAATACAACGTTACTTTACGCAACTGCTTTAGTAATTGTTTCTAGCAACTCGGAAATTCCGTACATATTTTGCTTCGCTTGCTGACATACTCGAAGCCGAGGCAAATCTTTGTCTTTAAACAAGTTCAACTTGTACTCTTGAGCGCTCGCTTGCAAGTGAGTCAAAGCCACTGATTGACCGTATGGTGACCGCGGAATAGGAATTCTGACAACGGCAACAGAAATCAGAACGGCTGTTGCGGTCTATCGATGTTCTCTGGAGATATACAGGAAGTTCTGTTTTCAACAATACGTTCACATAACCAAAAATAATAGGCTTTCAAAAAACTGTTTGATTTTTCAGACAGCTTGATTTTATAATATCATATATTTTTACACTTTTTACCGTCTATCTAAAAATATCCGTGAAATACGTTTTGATATAAAATATGAAGTATTTTTTAAAATACCCATTCTTGGACAATCTTATTTTAACGTTTTTCTGTGTTAAGAATTGAATACGCGAATCTTTTAGTTTAAAACATTACTCTGAAAAATTTCCCACATTTTCCAGTTATTTAAAGCATATTATTCAAAATGGGATCCCCCTGTACATCTAAGTGAGAACATTACCAGCGCGTATTGAACGGTATTCGTTAACAATTCAATTCGCTCCATGTATGAGGGTGTTATTAATCTGTATTCATCGAATTATGGAGTCAACAATCTAAACAATTAATTATTGATATAATATTAAAATCGGTGAATATTGTAACAGATTAACACTTAATAATGTATTAATTTACGTGCTTGACCACATCACTTTAATATATTAATTGTATTATTTAATTATGTTATGTCGTTTAATAACATTGTGATATTAAATTCGTACTCTCTTTCTCTCTCTTCTCCCCCCCCTTCTCTCTCTCTCTCTCTCTCTCTCTCTCTCTCTTTACTTAAGCCTATTTGTCACAAAGATTATCGCTCTTCAACAGCATAACGATATAATATAGGTCATACAGATGGATAATTTTATCAATAATACTGACATATTGTTCAAAATTAAAAAGCATTGAAATTGCAGCGCCGTAACAGTTTATTAAACATGATCGAGAGATCGAAGCGATAATGAAAGCAATTCGATAATATACGAAATATGAGAATCAGCTGTAACAATATTTCCGTTCTCGAATAAATTTTTATTATTTGTATTATTTCGAAAATAGTTTTCAGAGTAAAGTTTTGTTTGTATAGTTTAATATATAGAAGTATATACTTCTCAGTCTTCCTAACTTCGAATAGAAGTTTGCTTGGCTACTTTGGTGCTTCTCTTACAAAGCAAGTATTTCGTACTCTCTTCCTTTGCATCTCAATTGTCAAAACTATTTCCGCACACTGAGAATGCGTGCCTTCGAGCAGAAGCACAAAAGAAAATATACAAAATTTTTGCAGAAGAAGGACTAAGTCGTATACTTCAAAATATCTACTTGATGTATTTAATAAGCCTGATGTATTTATTGGATCATTTTAAGGCAACTTATTTTTCTATTATTAACTAATATCCTTCCATTTTCTGGATTGTTTGCTCTGTAAATCTACTGTCAGTTGATAGAAATCGAAGAAGAAAACTTCACAAACATTTTTCGTCAAGCGACGTGCACTAACAGTATTTTTTTTGTTATAATACAACAACGTCAAAATGAAGTCGCATAAATTTTCTTATAAATTCTTATCTTCTTCAGATTTTCAGATTCTGCAGACAGCGGGGAATCTTTCTTTAAATTCATTTAATTAAATTAATTTCAGTTTCCCTAACAATGAAGATGTACAAATAATGAAAGATACGGAAATTATTAGTGGAAAACATTTTCTCTACGTTGCTATATAAATACATTTCTCCTCAAGGAGCATGGTAAGCGAAACGGTGAAATATCACCCTCATGTATTCTACATGAAGTAGAATCTAATTAATATTCACCTCAAAATACATTTATGCATTCAACCACATTACGAGAAATGAAAATATTTTCGCGCAAACGTAATCTCTGCTACTGTCATACGTGGATATTTATTTTTGTAATTGTCATTATATTACACAATTTCCGGTTTCAGTGTACCATTTATTTCTCGAAAAAAAAATACGACGGAAGTTGAATAATTGGCCTGCATAAATTTTCGATCTGTCAAAGAATAAAAAATTGATTCCTGCAGATAGAAGTTTTTCATTGTACACCTAACGTTAATTGCAAATTTCCTTCGTTTATCGTTTAAGAAAAATGGGACAAATTTCTTCACAAAAAGAAACAAAATTATAAGATGTATTATAAGCTACAGCGGCGAACTAGCGGACATTATAATAAAAAACAGGGTTTATTTTTACTTCATGACTACGTGAAATAACTGTATCTTTTTCATTGTACCAGACGAGTAATAAAGATTTGTTTATTAAGGGAATTAGATGTGGCGAATGGTACCTCGAGTACCTCGGTCATTATCGCGATGCGCCTCGTTGTTTCAGCGCCTCTCCGAAAACAGCACGCCGGAACTAAACTGAGATAACGACGTGCTTTCGTAGCGCGCTTTAGACACGCGGGGCATGATGGAGAGTCCGGGCCCTTGGAGTCGCAGCCGTGTACAGAGCTATGCACCCAGCAAAACTACATTATGATTTAATTAAAATCAAACCTCTCGCTTGCCAAGCGGCGAACGTGCGCGCACCGTTTTGAGATATAAAGGGTTGGATGGGTAGATCTTTTTGTTATGACACTGGCGCGCTAGCTGGACGCAAAACTGTCGGCCAATTAGCGTATCTTTCCCCTTCCCTTCCCCCATCTCTATCTCTCTCTCTCTCTCTCTCTCCCTCTCTTTACCAGTTTTGCCGCGACTCAATAAACTTTTCCATTATCAAATTTAATTAAAGCCCCCGTATTTTCTATGCGCCGCACATCCATCCCCGAACGAACCTTCCTGTAAACGTAACGAATTTAACACAGCGCATTTAATGAAACCGTAGAAACGAGTCGCATGTGTGCAGAAACGCTTTCCATAAGCTCAAATTGCGCTTCATTCCCGATGTGTATCGGGAATTTATTAAGAATCCGACGTACGACGTTAGTGGAGATTGATATCGTAGCTTGTAAAGCAATAAGAATATAAAAGTGGATGTCAATGTTGAGTAACGGGGAGAAGAAGGAAGTTTAAGGAAATGGGAGAAGAGCTTAATCCCATCGTTATTCACGCCGGGGAGACTTTTCGCGGATATTGAGGCCTCCATTATGAACACGTTTATAGTGTATCTCTAAGTTATCTCCCACCATAATTTTCGCCTATTTTTCCCGGCGACTGAAATAACATAATCTTGGGCGCTTCTATAGTTTTGCGATAAAGTCGCCCAACGTTAGCGGCATCCATACATGCTGTATACATTTTAATTAAATTGCCCAGCGTTTTCAAATAAATTTAATATACGGTGCTTCCACCGGAGAATTGGAATTATAGCGGAATATCAATTTAATTAAAATATACCGAAATAATTGAGTATTTTATTATATGTACATACCGTACACTATAAATATTTCATTACACTGTAACAAAATTTTGTGGGAAGTATCTTCTCTAGCTCTTATTTTTTTTTTATAATACGAAAATTTTATAGCGAGCCAACATATTTGCACATTTGCATTTATCGATACGTAAACGTCCAAATGATTTTGACGAACACCATCGCGTCACGCTTGCCTCGCGCAAGCCCGGGGTATACATGCGAGAACAGTTTCACGCGTAACTTTGCACGTTTAGGCGGCCCATTTGTTTAATTTTTTTTTACCGCGCGCTCGTATTTTACACGCGTCCCGCGCCACAGCCGTACCATGCACACAGCATCGACTACTTTTTCGTCCCCTCGCACGAAAATTACAGTTTCCACGGAGTTTCGTCGTTAAGTACAGCCTGCACATCCGTGTTATAATGTCGGGGCCCTGTGTCCCTACTGACGAAACTTACGACTCCGGTAATACGTTTTCCATTACTAGTGTCCCCACCCCCTCCTTCCACCCGCCCTGGTGTGAGATGCTCGATTTACTTTTATCTCTTATAGAAGAAAAAAAAAGGACTGATCGCTCTCTGCAACATTTAGTCCGGCATGAGTCGCATGATTCCTGCATGCACAGTTTTACATTGCATAAATTGTATACTGTACACATATGTACGTTTTGAATTAATCGGTTTGAGTAACTACGTAATTTTTATATACATATCTGCTACATAAATTCAGTGTAATAAATTTAATATCGTTACACTGAATACATGTATGTAATGATATTAATAAATAATATCATTCACATAAATAATTTATTATTTCACGATACAATGCTTACATAATTTATTATTCCATGACACGTGTGCTTCGATAAAAATTAGACAGCGCGCTTCATCACATTCGTTTATTCAATGATTTATCGATACGTTCAGCGTGATCATTATGGTGCTAAATGCTCTCAGATATTAAAAAAGTAACCTCCATGAAAAACAAATCTAGAAAATCTAGCATTGTTAACAGAGGTCAGAAAAACGCAACGAAGATACGTAACAAGGATGATTGGCGCCACGAGTTAGATTCCATACGGATCAACGATGATCGTTGGTGGTGTATGGTGACGATGATGGTGGAGACGATTGCCGAGCACAGTCGCTACGTTTCTCTCTTCGACGAAGCGGTTGAGGATGGGGGGCAGGCGTGTATTTATTCCCTGAGTTATCAGAGAGCGGTGAACACGGTGAAAACGCTGGCAAAACAAGATCCAGAGAAATGCCCGGCCGTCGAGAGTATCTGTCATTACGTGGACGCGATCTTAAGCGAAAACAACGACCATCTCTCTACCTGGCTGATTGCACGGCTCATAAAGTATCTGATCTATCGCGCCAAAACCGAGCACATTGAGAGACTTAAAGTAGAGGCGGACCGTGGCAAAATCGATGAAGAATGTCCGACAGTTCAGAATACCGACGGCTCAAGTAAATGATATATGCCAGTCGTTTTTTTTTCCGTGTTTCAAAAACATTAAAGATAAGCCTTTAACAATATGATGTATAGCTGTATACGCAATGATAAATACGTTCTATTGCTTTCTCCGTTCGATAAGTCGGAATTACAATTAGTGAAATGTATTGATAGCGAATGTATGTCTTCTCTTTTTGTAATTTGCGCGCTCTCACTCTCTCTCTCTCTCTCTTTCTGGAGGCTTACATAATGGTAATAATTTCATTGCTCAGCTTCTTCGCGAAGCATTACCGAGCTTCGAAGAGCCTACAGTAACGAGACCGAGTACGTGTTCAACGGCAAAGTGAATACACGTTTACGTACGGATAACGTGCCTTTTGACGGACCGAAACTATACGTTGTGCTTAGTGGGTTTCGCAATCCTGATTTACCAGCAGAATTGTTAAGCGTCGGAGTTCCTTTGACCTGTATATTAGAGATTAAGCTACCCGGCGAGCAGTACATTGCGCATCGCGAAGCGGAGGAAGGGGATACAACGATCCGAGGTAAAACGCATTTCTTTGAGGATCGCCATACCAATGAAACTGAGTTACTCGAATTTTGGAGGGTTACGCGCGAACGATTCGCTAATCTATCGGCTTATCCGATGTATTCTGACATAACTGTCCTTACCGTCCATCCGTCAATCATCCCGGAAACGATTAACGCTATCGAGAAGGCGTCTCGGAAACGAGATATATATAACAGAGTGCTCCTTACTTTGCATCATTTGTATGATCTTTGCCGACAGCATGCAAAGTACCTTAAAAGCATGAAACTGGAGAAAGGAATCGTTGATACGAGGAACGAGATGGCAGATACTGAGATTTACGAGAGTGCATTAAGTGACATACCTAACGAATACATCGGCGTTCCGTTGATATTGAGCGCGATTCTTCTTCAGATCGAGCACAATCTCGCGACATCGTCCGATGGACGTTTCCCTGTCGATCACGACACGGGATTTAGCGGCGCCGATACCAGGCACGAGAATACATCAACGACAGCCGAACGGAGCCCTGTATTCAATATGCAGGATAAGCTGAAACTACTTGATCTTGAGTACGAGCTTACCGATGAATATGCCGACGGCACCAGTCAGCCTTCCGAGCTCGAAGTTGTACCGTACGGGGACACTTTGAGCATGATCATCTGTCAGCGCGCCGATCGCCTAGCTGCTCGTCTGGACGACGCGGTGCTGCGAGTTCTGCGGGATCCGAGAATAATTAACGTTTGGCGGGATCACGTGGTGCCGACGAGATCGCGATCCGACATGTATCTCTGCCACATGGACAATATCGCGCGTGCGTTCGATCGAGAGCGAACAGTCAGTCGCGAGGAAATCGTGCATTACGTGCACCTCTTGATGTTCGACGATCTGATCTTCTCCGGCGGCAGTCGCGCGGCGAGAGCGCGACTGCTGCAATCGCCGGGGAATGAGTCGCCGGAATTAAGACGCGCGCGATCGGCGATAAGAAGAGCGCGAAGCGTGCCAAATTTTACGTCACCTCTGTACGCGGCGTCGAGTCTACGCCGTTCCAAAAGCGACACCGAGATTGATTACTGCAAGCCGGTAGTCACATTCACCGAATGCCCGCTTTTGTTCGCGCTAACAGACGCTAGAGAGACATTGCTTCCGGGATATCTGCGCGAACATGTCTTCACGAAGAGAAGTTACGAAAGACCGAGTCTCGAAGAATACGAGGACGTCGAGTTGCTCTCGTGCCGGGTTTTTCTCCAGGTCGCCCACGACTGTTTCCAAAGTTTCGATCGTTTCGCGGCGAGATACTTCGAGCCGACGGATTCGGTGCTGCTTTACTTCAGCGACAACAACAGCGCGGTGGATGACGTGTCCGAGGAAAGGTGCTTGTCGAGTATACGTACGCCCATCGGGCTCCATGAATTCTGCGAATATATCGCGGTGGAGAAAGAGAATTGGATGAAACGGGAGCGGGAGACGCGCCAATCGCGCAGGACGGACCTGACAGGAAGATTTATGAAGAAATCCATCGAGGTGGAAGACGACGACGCGATCATATTCGACGACGAGTGCTTCATGCTTCCGGATTCTCTGAAAGCGCGACGTCTGAAGAGAAGTTCGGATCGCGACGGGCAAAAGAAAATTTTCGAAACGAAGAAATTCGAGGAGGTGGCAGCGGCGGCGGCGGCGGTGGAGAACGTCAAGGAAAAGAAAATGACAGAACAGAAACGAAACGAGGCGCCAACGGCGAACAACGGAAGCGGACGGGCGGATGGAAGAGTTATGAGTGGAAAAACGTCAATGACGGAGAAAAAATCGGACACAAAGATAGATGATGTCGATACGTCCTTCTTACCGGTGAAAAAAATTCTATCGTCTCAATGTGTCGTGACGGGCGGGCCGTACGACTTCGTCGGATACGATCTCGGTGGTCTTCGTGTTCAAGTGATTCATCATAGCAAAAAGTTTCTTTTGGACGGCGATACATCGGTGCGGGTCGAGCTCGAGGACTGGCTTCACGGCGACCGCGATTTACGCATCGCTGTTACTCTGTCACACTGCACTTTACGATTGTCTAGCGGAGTTAGTCGCCGTCACTCAACGGACACATTTCACTTAACTACGAAAAGGGGAATTGTGTTAGGTTTCCACCGAAATAGGAGAGAACTGGGTAATTAATACTTGGCACCAGGGCCGTTAAACGTTTATCAAATAATAGTGTAGAAAATAACAATTCTCGCGCGAAAGACGGTAGGAAGAAGATGTCTTTATTACTCGAATGATATTTTTTCCCCCCTCTCTGCGTTCCGCAGTTGAAAACTCATCCGATTCCCATTGGCGAAATTTGACTTTCGACTTTCGTGCTTCATGGCCTTCGGGGTTATTGATAGAACCAACCGTCGAGGACGGCACTAAAAATCCATTTTGCATTCGGCAATCGTACGTTTCGAAACGTCCCGGGCGTGCAGGTGCAGCCCGTGAAGTCCGCCGGAACTTTCTCAGAAACGGCACCGTCCTAAAGTATCTGGACGACAATACTGTCGTCATCTTCCGCTCGAATGGCGTCATCGTGACGTGCATGGACTTCGACAAGCCGCAATCGCACGATGAATCCATCCACGAGGCGGATCCAAAAAGTATACAAAGAGCTGCGGGTCAACTGCGGAGAGAACGAGAATATTTCAGTTAAATTGAGGATTCTTCTGCGACAGAATTCAGGATCAAAAAGGGCAACTCGAGGCAATCGGTGGCAGCCAAGCATAGCGGTAAAGTCACAGATTCCACGGAGACGCGTTCCAATGGATCGATCGTAAAACCGTCGAAACAGCATGTATTACGACTGGGAGAACTTGTGACTGTTAAGTTTCGTTCTAATTGGGACACGAAAACAACTTTAATGATTTGATTATTGAGATTTTGAAGCTAGGTTTAATTTCATCGTACAAATCTAATTTTATCGTCAAACTTAACAATTTAATCGTATGTAAAATATAAATTTAAACATTTCCGGCCCAAGCATATAAAAAAGGTGATAAAATAAAACGTCATTTTTATGTTTCACAATTATTCTTCATTTTAATATGTTTTTTTTAGAACGATATATAAATTCTTTTATATTTTTAAAAAATATTCTGAATTTTTATCCTTAAAATAGTTTAACACTGCAGAGATCATTTCTTCACCACTTATCCCATAATCCTGACTTTTAGCTTTTATTGATTACTTTTTACTCTCAAAATTTAAGTCCGATCTGCGTGGAAAAAAATTTACCAGATAAAAAAGTAATCTCCACAGCAATAAACCATTTTAAGTAGAGAAATTCAGAATATTTTTTTCATGTGGTACAAAAAAATTAATTTATCTTTTTAAAAAATGTATTGAAATAAAGGACGATTATATTAAAAGATAAAAATGATTGTTCCATTAAATTTTTATCCTTTTTATATTCTTGGGCTAGAAACTTTTTGGGAAATTTATTACGTAAATCGAAATGAAAATACGAGGGGCGTTGAGCTGACTGCGAGCATACAGCGTTTAATGTTTGTCACCTTTAAACGTTTTGTCTTAGAGCGACGGAGACGACTCATTGATAACGGGAGCACTCGCCGTGGGTGAAGTGTTACGATACTCGGTGGTGAATTACGATGGTCGACGCTACGAGGTGCTGAACGATCTGGTCGTAAGTGAACACGATCGATTGCTCGTTAGAACAACGTCGGATTACGAGGTCAACGAGGTATTCACACGTCGTGCCGACGGTACTGATACGTTGCTTCGTTCAAATGGAGAATTGGTCGTTACCTTCCCTGGTATATGTATATATATATATGTATAATCATGCTAAGAAATACACGCTTCATCAAATCCCGTTTGCCGTCCGATATTTCTTCGTCAGACGGCACGTGCATCATTACCGGTTACACGGTGGAGGAACAGCCAGTAATTTGCGAATGGACGAAGAACGAATTGAAGCGATACTTCGGAGACGCGGAAACGAAAGAACATGGTGCTCTCGCGCGGTCGTCACCCGACATCGAGTTCACGCGCGAGGGTACGTCCGTGCCGCACGTTGGACGCCAAGGGGAACCAACGAGGGCGGTATCGATCGCGGACGGTTTTGTCTCGATCTTGTTGACTTTCCGCATGGAGCACAAAGACTACGCCGCTGTGTCGTACGATCAGTCAGCAGTTTGCTGTACTTTATCGATGCCCGACAATCTCCGTGTCAGCATATCGAGAAGAGGTCATTACAAAGTTTCAATGGGCGACCAAGTTAATCTGAAGGTAATCAAAGTCGCGCGTACAGCGCAGTACGCATGCTCAATCGCGTAAATGTAACATCGGCACTGTGATGTCGCAACGCGTTTGTGTACCTTTGCCGATTGATTCGTCAGATGTTCAATTATACACGGTATGAAACTACAGTCTCTCCGCTCTATTTTCCTTACAAATGTTTCAGCATGACAATAGTTCTCTTTATCGAAAAAAAAAAAAAAATTTCACGACGTCGTTAGATTTCCGACGATGATACGGCGTTCTGGAAGAGGTGTGCTACTTGCGGCGAAAGATCGACGTCGACTTATAAGTTTCGGGAATCCTTCGGAGCTGATGCGCGAACGATTCTCACGACCGTCGGTATTCTCGGGAATGTGCTTGAGGTTAAAAGTGACGGTACCACGCGTTATCGTCGAAGCGAGGGCCGTCGAAGGGGTCGCGACGAGTGCAACGACGACAACGACGTCGTTCTCGAACACGGCGAAGAAAGAAGAAGTGGCGAAGAAAGGGACGCCAAGTCGGGGGCAAGGATCCATTGCAAACACGAACGATATTGCGAGACGCTCAAGTTTCCTGCGAGAAGTCAATACAGAATTTTCGCGATGAATCGCGATCTGACAGCCTGCGAGTACCTTCATCGATCGGTTAGATGTGAGCAAGAGGTGGCAGCCGTCTTTGACGACGAGATGAGTATGATCCAGTATCCAATTTCACGTCGACCGGAACTTCATCGCTTGATTACATTTGTGCCGGTGAAACCGGAATTGGGATCAAAGGAAATGTTCTGTCAATACCGGGTTAGATAATCGATAACATTACATTCTTCCATAATTAATTAATAAAGCACTGTTGCGTCAGTCCGACTGACGCAACAGTGCGACGATAACGTGATATATATATATATATAAAATGTATATATGTGTAACAGTAATAATAACATTTTATTTTTAAATCTTCCTGATTTTCTCGTGATAAGTAATAAAAGTAACTTTAATATCAACTTCAAGAAGATAATAAGAACTGGTAAATATCTCACAACGAAACCAACGTGCGCAGGTTACGTCTGACAAACGGACGGATTACGATAGAATTGAATTACCGCGAAGCACTTATTCGTTTCCGTACAACTGGCTGTTCCCCTTTGGCAAAAAAGTAGTTCCTGAAAGAACTCGGAACGAAGTTTTAGCAAAGCGAAATGAGCAGTCGCTGCCCAAGTTATTGCGAGTGCGCGTTTTCTTCGGCATTAAAGGGGCAGACAGAAGCGTTCTGATCGATATGCAGAGAGCCATGGGACGCTATTGGATATCTGTAAGTAAAGAAAATTTAATAACGCGAGTTCCGTTGAAGCTGTTCTCACTCGCCAGCCCCCACGTGCGTTTATTTACAATAAATATAAAAGTTTCAGAGTTTAAACAAATTCCACTTCTTTTTGCGACCCGGGTAATTGATTTTCGTATGACGAGAGGGGGCAGGGTTGGGGAGGGGAGGGGAGAAAGGGGGATATTACGCGAGATTGCCAGTTTTCTCCGGTTACATTTCTCCCAGGACCTTTCCTTCCACCCAGGTGTTACGTGATGGTGACAAATGTCGGCTATTTTACGCGACTGGAAGCAGTCGACCCTGCGAAGTTGAAAATGATTACGGGAGTTCGGAGGACGGCCTACGAGAGCTGGCTGTAGGCGTTAAGGGAAGCATCGACGCCGAGACGTACGTCAGAAGCCTTCGGGGTAAGCTCATTAAAGTGAGCACGAAAGCTCCTCGGCAGTCGAGCCGTCTTGCGGAGTTACTTCGACAAAGAGGCACGATGAAGGAGGTATACGAGTGGTATAAACAGTGCATGAGGAAACGAATTATAGTACCGTACTTCGGAAATATCGCTGATTCGCTTTATTTCTTCATGAAAAACCATGTCGTCGGAGTGGCATCGAGGAAAAGTCATTTGCGTGTGTCGCGGGAAAAAGAGGAAGAACTTATCGATAGAAATGAAGAAAATTGTTGATTTTTCCGTTGAAATGGAATAAAGTTTCTTTTTAATTAGATTTAACTGCTCGCGCGTTTACGTAAAAATATTTGTTTCCCTGATGCGAAACGAAAGCTTGACAGTAATTTGTATTTATTTTTTGTTTGTTAATGTTTGCTTGTAGAGACGAAGTGACATAAAAATCCTCACTCATTTTTTCATTGAGCTCGAATCTTTTCATTCTTTCCTCTTTTACAACAAAGATTTGTAAGTATCGCAACGTCTCGTGAGTCGTTGTACTTGTCCCTCATTCGAGTTTTTACCACCTGGTGATTTTGACGCGCGTGGCCTGAATACCGAAATGTCGAAGGACGAAGTGGAAGCCAGTGCTTGTAAGGGAGCGACAGCCGCCGCAGTGCCATATGCCTCGTGCATTACGAAGAGTCGTAAAAGTATGGTACGCATTTTATTCTTTCGTCACATTCGCTTCCTCGGGAGTGAAAGTATAATAAATGGTGCCCAGCCGCCGTATCTATTATTTTGGACTTATCGATATATATGTGTATACACATCGAAAAAGCTTTAATAACTGAACAAAAACTAATTCTTAGCACAGAGTAATTCTAATAAAATATAATTTGTAGTTTCAGCAAAATTATATCTAGCAATTAACATTAACATCTTAAATAAATCTTTTTGCTGCTCGCGTAATAACTGACAAATTTTGTTGCAGCAGCACAAAGTCTGTGGTGCCAGCAAAAATCTATCTTTCTCCGTGCGATAATTGTCGAAAAAATTTTTTAGTACGAAAAGAAAGGAACGGGATCGCTCTAATTACACGGCGGATTGCTCACTATATCAATCTGCAATTTGTATCGCCTTCCGACGCAATTTCGCGCGCTGTCTTCTTAGTTGTGTGTTATCCAACGGACACCAAACTCAGCCCTATATCTCTCCTCGCGTAACACGCATGTGGCTTCTGATACTGCGGCCATATATCTATCGGGCGGGAGATTCTTTGTAAAAACGCGATATAGCTCCCGGGGTCGATCTTTTACCTTTGCCAGCGGAGTCTGTCGGTTTCGTTCGAGAATAGGAACTCGCGACGATACTCCGTATTTCCGACTGGCCGTGGGGACGCGCGTAAAATATTTCGCTCACGTACTTTTAACCTATATCATTTTCCCTTCCGAACGTTATACGACGCAATAGGAAAAAAAGGGAAAAAACCGCTTGATGTGTGCGCTATATTATAGGTTTTTCTTCGCGTATACTGATCCCGCAGGGTCGCCCTATACCATTCAACACGGTGACGTTTCGCACACGTAACCGCCGCGTATGTTATAAGATATTGTCACATTCACAGTATTATACCTTCGTTTCTTACGTTGTTTTTTTAAGCCGATAAAAGCTCGCGTATATAGAAGCATATTAGAGGATAAAGTGTTACGACGGAGGCGGTTAATCAAATCACGGGAGAAAGGTACGATTTTCGTCGGAATAGCGCGAGATACAAGTCGAGATGGAAACGATAAAATTCTGACACGCATGCTCCACTTTTATTCTGTCGTCATATCAATGCGACGTGCTAAAAGTCCCTATTTATTCCTTTCCATTTTCGAAACCATTTGAGATACTAAAAAATCTCTTTGGATCTCGATGTTTCTGACAAAAAATATACATATATACATATATGTATGTATATAGACGATTCGCGTATGCGCGCGAAGCTTTTTTCGCTCGGCGATGCAGAATTGACCGAACAACGAGCCGAAAGCTCGCATTCCTATCTCGATTTTATACGATGTTTTGCACCCCGGAGTCCCGTGAGCGCTCACACGGCGCTTCTGGTTGCGACAAAGAGCCACTTTTGAAACGCATCGGCAATTCGCGGAAGAATAATGTCTGCCGACTGTTCTAGCGTTAGAGATCGGAGCCGAAAGGATAGAGCCGCGCGCCGGACTGGGTTTCCCCCGGTATTTCGCGCAAATATATCTATCGCTGCTCTGGATGGGTTTCGCTGGGCCGTGTATACGGACGTTTACGTATCGCGTTATTGGACAAAAGTTGCACCATCGGTTTTAGACGCGACGCGATCTGATATATCGCCGGGAACGGGATTTTTCGTTACGAGAGGGAGAAACTACGAGACGGGTCATTTTTCTCAAACTGCAGCTGGATGTCGTAACGCGAAAAGCGCTCTCCCTTTGCCTTGGCACCTTTCTTTCCCTCCCTCTCTCTCTCTCTCTCTTTCCCCCCTTTCCCTTGCCAAGACAACGAAATATATGAACTCTATACGCTTTACGAGCTATCGGATTGCGAATCGGCCTGATCGATGCTTCCAGCATCGGCTAAGTACGATCGGCGTACGCGCGTTTTTTATTTCCCTTTACCGCGGGTACATTTGTGTCGAATGTAAAGTGTTTTTACCTTTGCCTTTATCAAATTTGGAATAAAACACGAAATAAATTAATTTTAACGTATAATTAAATATTTTTTACTTTTCCGCGGTAATTGTGTTTCACCGTATTGCGCGATATTCTGTATGAATGGAATTTATAAGTATATAAAAAGTTTTATATTTTTGTGCCTGCATGAAATTACATCGACGACGAAAAATATATTATGGGTTGTGATACGAAAGTTAATTAACGTGCGTGCATTATCAATGTGCGTTAGCTTTTCAAGCGCGACCGCGAGTGCGAGGAAAAGTATACACGCCTTCGGTGTGTATTTATATACATTACCATATGTAAAACTTTTCCGAGTCATTCACGCACACGAACATTTTCGGCATATTTGTATGCATATTGTTTACGTTCGATCAATATCGCTTCATGTTGTTAGCTGTATTATTTAGTGGGGCTGTGCGTGATACGACATTAAATTTGCGTATAACCCATAAAACATTCATTTGCGAATTTTCATTGTTTCACCCAACACTCGATATTATTTAAAGCGCAATTTATCAGCTTTACGCTTATTGTTAGGAAATATTGGACGATATCAATAAAGCCCCGTCATAATTTAATCTCTGGCGCATTTACAGGTTCTAAATATATTTTAAACTGACAGAGCGGAATTAATCTTTCCGTGAATCGCTTTTGTATAAGAACCACTGTGTCACTTATTAGTCTCAGGCATTTTGCCTTTATGGATTGTCATTAAACGTACAATCGTTTACATAAGCTGATTTCTTATCGATTTTGCTTCTCATCTCCAAAATCCGACGTACGAATTCGCCGTGCAGTAAAAATCGGTGAAGTTAGACATTTCCAATAACTGCGTTAAAGTGGACTACTATATTTCAACCTTCAAATTCCTATTTCAACGTAACAAATTTGGAGCAGCGAGACTGAAGTATATTCAAGCGTAGTGTTTTTATAGATGCGTAATAAATGGAAGGATTCGGAGTTAATTCGAGCAAAGTAATTAGAGCGTTAATTTGCTTATGAAGACAAGTGCCTCTCGCCCATTGCTCGTTTTTCGCGGCGCAACTCGATGCCTAAGCCGATTAATTTTTACTATCCCAGCAAAATAATGGCGCATTGCGGCGCGACGGTAATTTACTCGTTGCTTGGCAATGGAAAGTGATTACCTACTTAACTAAACAGCAATGACAGATACCGACATCATTATTATATCATATTGCATTATTCTTAAGTGCTTCATAAATCAAGCGTCAAAAACTTTTAAGAAAGACATTAAACCGCGGAAATATTAACAGAGTTTTAATATAAATTAAAAATCATTTTAATAAAATAAACATATATAGATGCTTAAGATAAAGTATTAAAGTAACCGTAGTATAAAAGTGCATTGTATGCTGGAAGTCATCCTAAGCCGAGGCAAGGATTATATTAAATGAAAAAAATATATATAGATGCTTAATAAATTGTTTATATCTTTTTAAAAACATTAGCGAGATTGTACTGATCGAAAACTACTTTAATTCGATAAAAAGAAAAGCTACTTGAACGTTGAGATAAAGGTACATCAGAAAGGTTCATTGTGATTGGGCGATTAGACGGCGTTCGGTATCGACGCTTGCGTTTCAGCAGTAATCTCGTCAATCAAAGATCCAATAAAACGCGATTTCCGCTGAAACCAGGACTTTAATGAGAATCCGATTTGGAGGTGCAGCGATAGCTTCTCATTTGCTTCCAGCGCACGTAATAAGCGTGCCCGCTTTCCTCCCCCACGCTTTTCAAGGTGCCACGGTCGCTCGTGCGATATTCCGGGGAACTACCCCCTCGTGGCTATACACGCCTCAACCCCCCGAGAAAGAGTAGGTACGCTCGACCGCAGGTGAATAAGGGATGAGAAAGCGGGTTGGGATTTCCAGTGGAGCGGCGGTGGCGGCGGCGACGACGAGAATCGCTCGTTGTGAGGTGAGTTTGACGCCTATAAATTTCCGGTGAGTTGAACACGGGTTTTTAAATCAAGCATCATCTCGTTGTGAAATACGAGAAATAACGAGCACGAGAGACTTGAACTGAAAATTGAAAGTATTACACAAGTAAATCGTCATTCAGTCACCACAAGCGAAGCGTTGAAGGATCGATGATTAATAAATTATGAATTTGCCGGATGCCGACAAACGCCGATTCAATGTCGTTGTAAGAATTTCTTACTGGCTGCGCTCCTGATTCATATCGCGAGGAATTCACAAAGCTACGGGTTTGCCGGGAACGAGCTTTAAACTCTCCGATAAAAGTTACGGCGTGAAATAATGTAGAAATTTCATTTTGCCGTTTTTAACCTGGCTCACATAATGAACGTTCTGCGGCTGTTCCCGCGCGTTCCTCTACCTTAATATTGCGTCTAACTTTTTGTTCTAGCTGTATTCTTTTAAGAATACTTGAAAATAATGCTTTTCATATTATCTTCATTTCAGCTTTATTATCTGGCTCACGCGAAAATTGTTTATTAGACCGCAAATAATTTAATGAAATATTTCGAAATAACAATTATTAGCTATATGTATTTCACGAACGGAAAAACATGCATTTATAATTCTTGATCAACAGAGAAAAAGTAGTAATTATGGATTTATACGTTATTGGTTATTAGACGATACGTAATTGCGCGAGAAAAAAAATACAACTGTACAGTTTATATTTTGTAACAAGTACGAGAAAAGTGACGAATACCTGTCCGCTTACGTCTTTCCGGATATATCGGAGATCCGAAAGAAACTTAATCGTGTGAATCGAACTAAAATC